GGATTTACCCTGCAACCACCATTGAGAAGTCATCACAAGCGTACACGTGGAGGCCCAGGCTGATCCGGCGCTGCCAGGGTTCGGCACCTAGGTAGGCTCAGTAGGCCTCCACACTTCCTAGGTCACTGACAGGTGGGTCCCTATGACGGTTGCGACAGTTATGACAGTTTCCGAGACGGTTACACCTGACATGTGAGCCCATCTTATCCTTAAGCTTGCTTAAGGGTGAGTTTTCTTCATTTCTTCTCCATTTTATTTGCTCAATCGCTGCAATCAAATAAAATCCAAGTACAAGTGGAAATAGATTATTCTAAAATAAATATGCATTGCAAGCATAGCTAGTTCTCCTTTATTTTAGTTATATTGACGGTCGAAATTGATCTATAACGACCGTCAACAACCAGCGACCTCCACCTCCGCCGCCAGCCGCCCGAGCAACCTCCATCGACGCCGTCCGTGGCCATCCTCAGTGCCACCGTGCTGGTGAGGGGAGGGAGAAGAGAGAGAGAGATGGGGAATAGAGAGAGATAGAGAGGGGTGGGGAACTGAAAGGTGGGTCCCACCAATTTTTTATTAAAAGAATTGTTGAGTGCACTGCCATGTGGAACCAAACCACCATGGATTGAGTCAGAGAGTTAGTTGTCTGATTTTGAGTCGAGGAGTTAGTTGTCCGATTTATATAGTTGGAGGTGAAGAATGTCCGATTTTGTGGTTCAGGGGGCAATTTGGTCGACCACGATAGTTCGGGGAGGTAATTCATACTTTTTTTTAAATAAGATAAATGGTCAAATGTAAAAAGAAAAAAGTCAAAATGACATCTAATTTTGGACGGAAACTGTAATTGTTTGTCCAAGATTCAAAGAAGCAGGTCAAAGCCGAAAGCTGCCATGCTGATTTTGCAGCGAGCCAGCAAGCCGCGGTTCGTACACTATGCTCCGACAGCGTTTGATTGATTTTGTCAAAACTGAATTACCACCGGCCGATCTTTTTCTGAATTGACATGCTAGAATCCATACCAGTATTAAAGTCGGCTCGGCCAATCGATCCCGGAGCAAATAACTTGCTTTAAATCGTCGGCCGTTAATTGTCCCAATCTGGAGTTTCTCTTGTAGAGTTCAAGGGAAAAAGTACGAAAGACTAGATTGGCTAAACAACCCTTATACTATTATAGTAGTAGCAATATTTTGAAACATAATTAACACTTAAAGTAGCTATATTTAGGAGGGAGTATCTATCAAGTAGCTTGCACATTCGTAGAAAATGTAGCGGTTATGACTTCAAACCTGCAAAACCACGTTTTGTAACAATTAACGAGTACAAATAGATCTTGCTTTGAACAAAACTTCTAAAATGTTCAACTATCGCAAAAATGAGTAAATTGGTCGTTCATATGCTGTAGTGGCAAATAACTAAATACATGGTGAGCATCTATTACAACCAAGCTGACACGAAATATATCAGTGCACATTTGTAGACCTGAAATTGAGGAGCTAACAGGACAGCGAGAAGAACTTTAGAATCCAGCTTTCTCTGGTTATTTTAGAGATCAGCCCTCCCTGGGTATCTAGGGAAGGGGATGACATCTCTGATGTTCTCCAAACCAGTGGCAAAAAGAATCATTCTTTCAAAACCCAAACCAAAACCACTGTGCTTGACAGATCCAAAGCGGCGGAGGTCCAAGTACCATTCATATGGCTCCAAAGGCAACCCGGCGTCTTGTATCCTGTGAAGCAAAATTGCCATGTCATTGACTGAGTATATACATTTTACGGAAAACATGACTGATAAGTTTAACAGAATCAGGGGAGGAACATAAACACGTAATATTGTAAGATTTTTAGATTTTTAGCATGTTCAGCATCATCCACTGGATGCATAGCTTCCAAAGAAATGATGACATATTGAATAGAATATATGAGGAACAATCAGTGCAAGATTTTTTGCATGCTCAACATCAGCCTTGACTAGGTACATCAGCAACAAGCCAGGAAGGATGATATAATAGGGAATAATGATGGGATGATACATATGTAATAATGGTTAAGACTGTTACCATGTGCAATATCTACCCATTTTACTATTTGATTAAGCAGAGAGAATACCAAAAGCATGGAACAATAGCTATCGTACTAAAGATTCCAAAATATCTTCTGCTTGAAGTTGAGCATCGCATACCTTGTTTTGAGAAGGTCCAGACGTTCCTCCCTTTGGCTTCCACCAACCAACTCACCAACCTTTGGAAGATATTCCAGCAAATAAGTTAGGGATCATACTATGACAGGTCGATAATGACAAAATTTCTGTTCATGTAACACATTCACATGCTTACACCTAACTCAAAATTTATGTTCATGCAACATATTTACATGCTTACACGGTTACACCTAACCTCAAATTTTCTGTTCATGCAACATATTTACATGATTACACCTAACCTCAAAATTTATGTTCATGCAACACATTTACATGCTTACACCTAACCTATATTGGAACTAACTAGAAGTCTGAAATATTTATATTTACCTTGGGCACAAGAACATCCATAGCAGCTACAGTCTTCTGATCATCATTGAGTCTCATATAAAATGCCTTTATTTCTTTGGGATAGTTATAAACAATCACCGGCTTCTTAAATATCACCTCGGTTAAATACCTTAAACAATGTAAGAAGAGAGATAAAAATGTAAACAAAGCACAGTAAGTCATCGGAAGATAAAATATTAAATTCCAATATAGATACCTTTCATGCTCTGAAGCTAAATCAATTCCCCATTCAACCTTGTTTTCGAATTTCTTATCAGTGACATTTTTCAATAGCTCAACAGCTTTTGTATATGAAATGCGCTGAAAAGGTGTCGAGGAAACAAGCTCCAGACGCTCAATTGCAGTCTTATCGTAATTTTTCACCATGAATTCCATGTCTTCCCGGCAATGCTCAAGAAGCCACTTGCAAAGGTACTGTACATATCTTTCTGCACAGTTCATATCATCCTGGAACACAGTTCGCCAAAATATCATGAAATAACAATTCATACAGAATCTTAGAACCAATAGTAGATAGATTAATAAGCTAAGATGAAATATTTCAAATGCTGCAAAGGAAAATATGATCTGGATTATTTACCTGCAAGTTAGCAAATGCGATTTCTGGTTCAACCATCCAAAACTCTGCCAAATGTCGTGATGTATGGGAGTTTTCTGCACGGAATGTTGGTCCAAAGGTATAAACACTGCTAAGAGCACATGCATAGGTCTCAACTTGAAGCTGTCCAGACACAGTCAGAAAAGCCTGGCGTTTGAAGAAGTCATTCTCATAAGCTACTGTCCCATCATCTCTGTACGGAATTCCGGGCTTCAACTTAGATCTTTCCTCCAGCCTTGAGACATTTTCTTTTGCCTTGTTAAGCTCAGCAACAGCAGCTGTGATTTCTTGTTTGCTAGCTTTTGCAGCTTTAAGCTGTGCAACCGCATCACCTTTTTCCTTGACAACAACTCTAGCTGCCTCAATATCAGACTCTGATGGTGCAGGGTTCTCTTTCAATTCCTTCTCCACCTTTTCAGCATGGCTGAACAAAGTCGTCACTTGAAACATCTCACCAGCACCCTCACAATCACTTGTAGTTATTATTGGTGTGTGCACATAAAGAAAACCATTCTCATCAAAAAACCTGTGTGTTGCACAGGCTAGCTGGTGTCTAATACGCGCAACAGCACCAATCTGCAAAATAAAATAAGGGATTGCAGAGTTTGTTATGTAAAATATTCCATCTCATGAGTTATGAACAGAGAAAAAACTGAAACAAAGTACATATTCCATTAATTTCTATATATTGCAAAACCTAGAATTGCAGTTCAATACAGAGTTGCGGCAATCCAAATGGCAAAGATACCAAATTCATCAACCAAACCTTTTAAGGAAATCAAAATTTAAAAAAAACAAATCAGAAATGATTGCATTGTAATCAAGCTCAGCTTAAGATAAAATATTATGGGAATCAAATAGCACATATAAAGGTTTAGACTTAACATGCCATATTCTAATTGTGGATGCCTGAACTCAATTGGGAGTTAATCATCCATAGCCTTACATGACCCTCTCAGCATGTGTACTTTCAAGAATAGCAAAGTTAGCAGAAGAGGGGACTAGGCACTAAACACCGGAAACTGCCAGATCCATAAAACTTTAAATTAACCAAGTGTTTGATTTGTGTAAAATTCGCAGTCCACACAACTCATAATCCAGTTCAAAATAAACCCATCCTTCAAAATGTATCCACATCAATTTGATCTAATGCAATAGGTAAAATCGCAATAAAAGTAGATAAAACTGTGTGGGATTGTTAACCAATCCACTAGACAACCTAAATTTTCACACCAGGAAATAGACTAGAAAACCAAAATTTTCACACCAGGAACTAGACATCCTAAATCATCACGGCAGGATTTATCAAAACTAGTGCGGAAGTTGCAAAATCTAGAAATTTCTGTAGTCTACTTCAGAAAGGGCTTCAGTTTTCGTGGTGTGAGGCGAAACAGACGGACCGTGTTGGTGCGGGAGCGGAGATGGACGACGTCCCTGAGATTCTCGAGCGTGAGCTTGGTCTTGGGCAGCGGGTAGGCGGCGGGGTCGACCTCGCCGACCTCGATGACGCGGTCGACGCGGAGCTCGACGCGCTGCTTGGCGCCCTCCGGCGGCTTCTTGAGCTCGCCCTCGACGAGCACGGACGTGCCCGTGGCGGTGAGCGGCGCGAGCGGGTGGACGGCGGCGTCGACGAGGACCTGCAGGTTGGAGGCGCAGGAGCCATCGTTGAGCTCGAGGAAGGCGAAGGTGCCTTTCCCCTGCTCCCGCCCGGTCTTGACCCACCCGCCCACGACGACGCGCTCGCCGGCGCGCGCGGCGCCGTCGGCCAGGATGGATCGGATGCGGGTGCGGTCGGTGGCGGGCTCCAGGTCGTCGGAGAGGGAGGCCGCGGCCATGGCGGCCGCCGCGGCGTCTTCGGCCATGGGGGAGGGGAGGGTTTGGGAGGAGGCGGCGGCGGCGGCGGAGGAGGAGAGGAGTGGTGTCGGGTCGGGTGGGAATTGGGATTTTTAGGGTTTAGTAGTAGGTTTGTTGCCACTTGGCAGTTTGGAATGGTGGAGAGGTGGAGAATGTAGCGCGCGTCGTGTGGTGGACTGGGGGGTGGTGTAGCTATAGCGGGCCCGCCGGCCGGCCCATTGATTCGTTTCATCTGGAATCGGTGTACGAGAAGGCATCTGGAATCGGGCCACACCGCCCCATTTGAGGTTGGAGGGAGAAAAAACCAGCAATGAAGAAAAGGAAAAAGTACATCGAAGGTCCCTCAACTTGTCATCAAGTTACAAAATCGTCCTTAAACAGCAAAACCGGATACAACACATACTCCAACTTATAAAAAGTGCAAACTAAGTTCCATTAATAGTTTTGACTCCGGTTTTATCCGACGTGGCAGCTGACTCAATGTGGGACCCACGTGGGCCCCATACATCAGGGTGACCACGTCACCATCTCTTTCCCCTCTTCTTTCCCTTCCTCCTCTCTCTCTCCCAATTTTCTCATGCGGGCTGGCTGGTGCGGCGGGGGAAGAGCTGCGCGCGGGCGGCGAGCGACGGAGGAGGAGCGGCGGGGGAGCAGCTTGGAGGCCGGCGACGGGCCGCGGGGTGGACGCATGCGCTGCGGCGGTTGGCTCAGAGTAGAACAGGAATTGGTAGGCGCGGTCGCCGTAGTACTTCTCCAGGGACTGCACGGCGACCTTCCCCGCCATCTGGCCTTCTTCGAGACCTCATTCTTCTCGGGCTTCCCGTCCACCTCCATGGTGACGGGCCGCGCCGCCTCTTCAGGCTTCTCGATCTCCATCGCCGCGCCGGGATTGCTGCTGCTTGTCTCAGGCTTGGCATTGCTCCTGCTCTTGGTTTTGGTTTTGGAGAGCACGGCAGAGACAAAATCCATGCGCAGATTGGCATCCTCTTCCACTGTTTTGTTTGGTAGGCAAGCAAGCAAATTACAATCCATTCCTGGTTCCTCTCCTTAAAAACCAAACCAAGCGGGCCTATGTTTACTGAAGATTAGTCTTTAACAGGGGCCTATGTCAATTCCTTGCCGTCATCAAACAGACAGACAAACAAACAACACGATGATGATGAGTTCTGTCTTGACGGCTGCTTCCTTCCAATCTCCTCGCAATTTCATCAAACTACAAGTACAGCTAAGGCCTCAGCAGCGACGCCTGCAACACCAACAACAGCTTCTGATTGTTGGCAGCAACGGGGCAATAACAATAGGAAACATGAGTTTGTGCCGGGATTGCTGCTGCTTGTCTCAGGCTTGGCCTTGCTCCTGCTCTTGGTCTTGATTCTGGAGAGCACGGCAGAGACAAAATCCAAGAGCAGCGGCTTGGCCGGCGCCATGGCGTCGATGATGCTGCCGCCACTGCGAGAGATGGCGTGGCCTCGGCTGCGTTTCCGGCTAATCCGTCGCAGCTAAGAAGCTCGCCGACGGCTGCCACGGGGCGCTTCCACCTCTGCGCCCATCGCCGTAGCGCCGGCCTGCGCCCAACCCACTGCCGCTGCGTCGCCACGCCACCCCGCCGCCCGTCGCCGGCCACCCAGCTGCTCCCCCGCCCGCGCCGCTCTTCCGCCACCGCACCGGCCGGCCCGCATGAGAAAACTGAGAAAGAGAGAGAGAGGAAGGGAGAGAAAAGAGGAAGAGATGATGACGTGGTCACCCTGACGTGTGGGGCCCACGTGGGTCCCACGCTGAGTCAGCTGCCACATTAGATAAAACCGGAGTCGAAACCGCTGAGGGACCTAGTTTACACTGGTATTGTAAGTTGAGAGACACCGGATATCTGGTTTTGCTGTTTAGGGATGATTTTGTAACTTGATGACAAGTTGAGGGACCTTCAGTGTAAAACTAATAATATAGCCGACTGATGGGTCTAAAAATATTCATATTAGCATTTAATTAACTAATAACTGTGGTATGTATATAATAAGAGAGCTATTTGTGTGTCCCTTCTTAATGTTTTTATTCTAATTTTTCTTCTTTTGAAGCTTTCCCGTCCACTCATTTATCTTGAGAAGTGAGCAGCCATTGTGAGTTTAACAGAAACTAGTCATGCGCCGCTAGTGTTGCATTGGAGCTTGTGTGGAGCCGGCGACTAATTAGTCGACCGCTCACACTCTCTTTCTACTCATTTCTTCCCTAACTCTGTACTTTATTCAGTTTGGACTCAGTATAGCCAGCAAAAATTACCTATTACTAGAAAGGCTTCGCGCGCTATGTGGCGCGGCCACTAAATTACGGGAAACAGAAGAATGTAAGATTAGAGAAGCAATTCTTTTAGGGACTGCCTATACATTATGCGATAGATTTTCTAGCCTCCTATCATGCAAATTTTTCAAGCCATAGGATAAATTTAATCTCATCTATTTAAATTTAGGGAGTAACTATTAAAAAAAAAGTTTGCATGTATTTACATTGTAAGTTCCAAATTACATATGTAATTTTAGTGTATTTATGATGTAAGTCATAAAATTACATATGTAATTTTAGTATATTTATGATGTAAGTCACAAAATTACATATGTAATTATAATGTAAGCACGATGTAATTAGTAAGCGTGGATCATAAGCAAAGTAGCAGTAGAAAACACTGCTCAAATGCAAGGAAGAAAAACAGGCGTGTGTTTCGAAATTGAACGGTAAATATGTGAGACCAAAAAAACGCAACAACAAAGTCCACAGAACGCAACAACAAAAGCTCGGTCCATCTCAAAGTCCACAGCCGTGCATGACTTTGCTCAATCCAAATGCAGCACGAATTGTAAACAGAGATGAATGGCCAAAAAAGTGAAAGATTTAGCACCCTATTTTCTGTCAACAGAGCACTAGCGATTCCGATATCAAAATATGGTTATTTTGCCGCTGGACACCATACACATTAATTAAAATATTAATTTCCGGTTGAATATGAGAGATAAATAGCGTGAAAAGGTCAAAAATGCCCCCTGGGCACACTTATCATATTCTTTCTCTTCCTCCTTATTTCCCCTTCTACCGGCAGCCCCCTCCTTGCACCGCCTCTGGTGTGCCATCTCGTTGATGTCACTAGCTTCCTCCCCGCGCCAGGCGCTCCACACCGGCAAACTCCTCTGAAACCTCCTCACCCATGTAGATCTCGAGTTGCCGCTAGGGAACCATCTCCATAGGCTATTTTCCTGTCGTCGCACGCGGCCCTTCACTTCTTGCACAACCGTCGCCGTTGTTCCTCCCATGGATTTGGAGGGAGAGCCATAGCTTTGCCCCCTGCTCTGCTCCACCCAAGGGTGGTCCACCTCACCGCCGGCTACTAGGTCCCCTCGTCCACCCCCAATGACTCCGTGTCAACCACCTTCATGTAGACGACCGGCCATATCTTGCCAAGCTCCGTCCGTTGTTCACTCTACCTTCTTCTCTAGGATGGAGGTCATCGAGCGCCCGACGCCTAGCACTTGTTCCCTCGAGCGTCTACACCATCGGGAGCCTTCGTCTCCACCAAGGCCATTGGGAGGCTTCGTTTGAAGTGGGGTGTTTGCAGAAAGGGGAAATAAGGAGCAAGAGGAAAGAATATGACAAGTGGGCCTAGGGATATTGAAAGTGCATCTAGGCCCCTAATGATTTTGATGATTGATTACAATGCGATTAGAGAGGACTAACACTTTTATTCAAGCAAATGTGAAGGTTGTTATGTCCTCGACATGTTGTAATGAGATGCATACCCCATGAATGCGACATCACGATGCAATGCGGCAGTGATCAAATGGCATATTATATCTTTTACCTTGCATTGTGTCATAGGAATGCCGTACTATTAAGAGGGATACCACATGCATATAATTGGTAGAACACTAGTGCTCAAAATGCTTCATCTTTGTGTGAGTTGAAAAACCTAAGCCAAAATTTCAATCCCGAGTTGTTTCACTTGTCACAACACTTACACCGGGTTTCTTTGCAAGTTTTTCAACATCTCTTGAAGGTTTTGGACCATGTTTTATGTTGGGTTTGATAGCCCACGAAACTAGCTTTCCATAAAGTCCAAGATCTTCGAAATCGGAGTTCGGAGTAAAAAGTTATTGCAGTTTTACTTGAGCAACATCAGACTATCTGATTTGAAATCAGACTATCCGATTTTTCACATAACTTCACTCTCTGTCTTTGTTTGGAAAATCCTTTCGAGTGAGTTTTTCTATGTGTCGGTGTATCCGATGTTGGATCAGATGTCCGATGATACAGAGACTCCGAAATTTCATGGAACTTGAGTCTCTGTTTGAGGACGAAGTTTTTGCTTCAAAAATATCAGATACTCCGATTTAACATCAGATAGTCCGATGTCTCGGAAAGTCCGAAATTTCATGGAACTTCGTTGTCTGTTTCTCGTTGCGTTGGAGGTTTAAAATATCGGACTATCCAATCTTGTATCGGACTATCCGACATGGGCTGAAAGATTCCCCTCCAACGGTCACTTTTTGGGGGATCCATAAATACCCCCCACCTAACCCTTTTTCTAGGGTTACCCAACTCATTTCATTCTCATTCATTTTGGGTTGAGCTTGGTGCTAAGGTGCTTTGGATCTTTGAGCTCTTTCTCCCTCTCTCAAATCCCTCCTCGTTCTTTGTGTGGTGGATCTTGGTGGTTGTAGATTTGGTGTTTGAGGGCCTAGTGTGTGTTTCACTCGATCTTGAGCACTAGGGTTTGACCAAGAGTTGTGTGGTGTCTTTTACTCTTGGAGGTTGAGGACTCCTAAACGGCTAGGTGTCACTCCCGAGCCACCGATCTACGTGTGGTTGGCCGGGAGAAGTTTGTGAAGGCCGGATCTCGCCTCCGCAAGGAAAGAGATACCCCTTAGTGGAAGGAGGAGTGCTTAGTGTAACCTCTTGAGGAAAGGGTTAGCAAAGACCCGGCTCTTAGTGAGCGTCTCAACGGAGAGTAGAATCCCCTCAAGAATTTGAACTCCAGGAACAACTTCGTGAACTTCATCATTGGTGATCTCCCTTCATCCTCCTTTTAGCTTTGCTTAATTGTGCCGCTATAGATCTAGTCACTGTTTGTGCTTTACTCTTGTTTGTATGATAGATCTACTTGTTGTGCTTCATTGGTGGATCAGACAGTCTGATCCAACATCAGACTATCTGATATTTTCGGATAGTCTGACTGTGGATCAGACTTTCCAATCTTATTTCAGTTTTAGCTTCCGCATAAAGTTTTAAATTAGCCTATTCACTCCCCCTCTAGGCCTAATTGACCCTTTCAGACATTTTTATATTTTCATGTTGTTTTTCTCTCCTATTCAATCGGAATTTAATATTTTAATACATGCGGTGTCCAGCAGCAATTAAACATATTTTGAGAGTGTCTTCCCAAAATATCAACTTTTGCCGTGTCCGGGAGCTAAAACCACGAAGTCACGGTGTCCTACAACAAAATTTGTCACATTGGGCCGGTACGTTGAGGTGGATATTTTTGTCTGGTTTGAATAGTTGAGGGATGTATTTTATCTGGTTTCGTAGTTTAGCGAGGCAAATCACACTTTGGTGATAGTTTGGGTAAATTCGACATAATAATAATAATAATAAATAATTCATATTGAGAGTTTTTCCCTTTGCGAATTTCCGTGAAGTGAAAAAAAAATTAGCACATAAAAGAAAGTTGAAATTTAAACAACAATATGCACAAAGGCGCTGCACCTATGCTGTGAACAAAATAATATGTCCAACAACTTTATCAAATACTAGAATAATTTATCATGAACACTTAAGACTTAACATGATTAATTAATTTGAGATCTATAGTGGCCCAGCATGAGACCGAGGTTTTATGGCCCACTTTTAGATAATCATTTCTAATGGGACACCTAAAACATTATTGATATTTTTGAACAAGTTTCAATATGATCTCCATGGTGAAGCATCTAGGCCCCCGTTGTTAATTTTGGTAATTAATGACAAGCACTAATTGTGGACTAACCGTTGCTATTGAGATATATTTTAAGTTAGGTCCACGTCATGTGTGCGCATGGATGACTATCGATGGATTAAAATTTGATGGCGCGAAGCGAAGAAAAGAAAACGGTAAAACTAGTGTTTTAATTTTAAAATTGATCGAGGTGAAGGGCGATCAAATTTGCTAGTTTATTTGTTAGTTTCGCCGTACTATCAAGGGGGTAATGATCTAGCAAAGAGATGATTAAATTGCCACATTAGGTCATTGCATTTTCACTTGTGCTCACATTTTCATCACACACACACACACAAACACTTTACCTTTCACTGGGCTCGGCATGACCAGGGGCAGTCAGACCGGCCACATTGTGGCGGTCTGACCGGCGTGCCTTGGCCGGTCTGACCGGCGCCACAACGGCGGTCTGACCGGAGCATAAGGCCAGTCTGACCGACGGCACATGCACGGTCAAACCGGCCCCCTGGAGGCCGGGATGGTGTTGCTCGAGGTGGCTGATACAGAGCCGACGGAGCCGTATTCGGTCAGATCGAGCCGAGGCCGGTCGGCTCGGTCTGACCGGCCAGGCCGATGGGGCCCTCTGACAGCGCTACAACGGCTAGTTTTCTAGCCGTTTGTCGCAACCGAGAAAATTTGCATTTTCCCGAACGCTAGTGTATTAATCCCCGTCCCAGGAAAAGCCGGGGTACACCACACAAACATGATATAAAAGACACATCTTTATTATATCGATAATATTTACCTTATTACAAATGCACTTCAGGCCTGACAATAACAAATAAACAGCAGCGGACTAGCGGGCCTATGGCTCCATCTTCACAGGCGCTCAACTAGGGTATAAGCCAGGACTCTACCTAAGACATCTCCTCCAAAGCTTCTCTTACTGAAGAGGGGAAAGATAGAGCAAGAATGAATACAACCACAGTACTCAGCAAGCCACACCGGGAGATGCATGATTAATGCAAGGGAGTACAAGGGGTAATAATATAGGGGTTAAGTTTTGCAGTAAACAGCATTTAAAAGTCACTTAGTTGCCCAAAGCTATTTTATAAAGACGATCCTAGAGCTATATAGTATTATTAATCAAGGCCGTGAACCCGCAC